TTCCTTTACGGCAAGGAGACAGTCGTCGGATCTTGCATCAATCAGGTGGAGCTTTCGGCCCCCAAGGGGCGGCAGAACCAACCCGATCGAGTCCTCGGAGATCGATTGCTTCCGGGAAGGACGCTAGCGACACACCTAGCATGGGAAGTAGCTTCAGTGATCTCGATGGTAAGCTCAGTTGGATTCCATTACAATTTTGAGTGTTTGCTCCTAATTATTGCCTGAGCAGATGCCAGCGTCACACAGTCGGCACTTGAAGAGGCCCTACTGAGTAACATGCAACACGGAGGAATGGCAAGCCGCATGAGCACTATCAGTCAAGCGCTACGAAGCCGCTATTTGTAGATGGGATGCTCCAGACTGGACATTGTGTGCTGTCGGGCTACATTGGGGTACAATAGTTGAACGAGCTTGTTTCCAGCTCCGCGTGACATGCCACTAGACGCTGGCTTGATGCCTATCATGAATTGAAACACTTCTACCAACTCTCCCTACCTTAATTGCATGAATGTTTTGAGAGCCTATCACGTGAATGCGCAGCCAGCTGACGTCAGTTGAGGGGCGCTCCAAAGGCGGTAAGAAGAGAAGCCGAAGCCCTCATCATCAACCTCGGCGCAAGCAGCTGAGAAGCCGACACCTTATCTCCGTGTTCTGCAGTACGGGCAAATTAACAGGTCATATTTTGACCTTACGGTCCTCTGAAGCTCGGCTTGTGGGTATTTGGAAATTGGCACATAACAAGTTTCGGCGACAGGATTGGAAGTCTACCAGGTACATTACTGATCATTTGATGTCGGACTAATGGAGGGGTATCCTGTTGGGGGACCTGTCACCCGCTCAGGCTAACTGATTTCTCTGGTGGTTGAGGAACAGAGTCCCATCCAAGCAGCGACAATAACAGGTACCCTTCGAGCTCTCTGGGTAGTTTCTCATTCCTTTTTATTCATCGGACAGTATTCGGTCATTACGATATCGTATCGAGTTGAGCGCTCTGAGTCAACATCAGCCCGAAATCCATACTCGAGGTCTTAGGGGCCTTGGTTGAAGTTAAATTGATCTGCTTTGCACCGCTTAGACTGGATTTGTTTCTTAGCTATAGAGTGCCGTGCGATCAATAGCCATTGGAAGAATCGGAGCAGTTTCGCGGAGAATCCGATTGACAATGGCGGCAGCGACCACGGAGGAAATGACGCCTGCAGAGCAAGAGTCTGTCTATTTCAACAACTACCCACCTCCTAAGAATCTCCCGAAACATGAAGCCCTTGCCAGAGCGTTCATCGAATATCACACCGAAGCGAACAGGCGGCTGGTCCTGGTTACCTCCGGAGGCACAACTGTGCCCCTCGAAAACCAAACGGTGCGATTTATAGACAACTTTTCAGCTGGAACCAGAGGTGCAACTTCCGCCGAGTATTTTCTCCAAGAAGGTTACGCGGTGATTTTCCTTCACCGTCAATTCAGTCTGCTACCATATTCACGGCACTATAGCCACTCGACGAACTGCTTCTTGGACTTTATGGATGAGGCGCCGCCATCCAGCTCGTCAGAATCTGCCAATCCAGGCCACGGTCCTATAGTGGTGCGCAGTGAATATCAGGACCAGATGCGTGACGTTCTGCGGAAATACCGCTATGCCAAACAAAACAACTTGTTGTTGCTGCTGCCGTTCACCACGGTTTCAGAGTACTTGTTCGAGTTGCGAATGCTGGCCAAGTTGATGAGACCACTGGGATCCAATGCATTATTCTACCTAGCCGCGGCCGTCAGCGACTTCTTCATTCCGCGAGAGCGGATGGCGGAGCACAAGATCCAGTCCTCCGAGCTTCCCGCACACCTCGATAGTTCAACTTCGGTCGCGGAATCGGAAGTATACACAGGTGGGCTGGAAACCCACGCAGGAAACAGCAAGAAACTTGTGATCGGTCTGGACCCGGTACCAAAGTTCCTGCATCGACTGGTAGACGGCTGGGCGCCTAATGGAAGTATGGTTGTCTCCTTCAAGCTGGAAACGGACCCCAATCTGCTTGTCTACAAGGCGCAGACGGCGCTGAAGCGGTACTCACACCATCTGGTTATTGGCAACCTTCTCTCCACACGCAAATGGGAGGTCGTCTTTGTGACGCCAGATCCTCCCTACGAGCGCTGGATTCGGGTTCCCAAGTCGAGACGTAGCAAGAGCATCTCTGGTGCAGAAGATCAGGTGGGCCTGGCAGAGGCAAGGAAAGCGCGCGAGTTAGTGAATCGTCCCAGTGGGGAAACCCGAGAGGACAATGAGCAGAAACCAGCAAGTGTTAGCATTGCGGATGGAGTGGAGATTGAGAGTCTGATCATCCCAGAGTTGGTGAAGCTGCACTCGAACATGATCGCCAAACAGCAGGCAAAGCAACAGCCATGATACCTGAAGAGGTCACCACAACAAAAACAATTCATAGTCTATAGATATCCTCCCGGTGAAATGTTAATGTCAATGTCGACTTTATAATTCGATACCATCGCCCCTTACTAAGTAGTCTCTGGTCGTCCTTGTCAAGTGCTTGGCGTCGACGATCTGCCCCATCGTCCCATACAATCGATAGATTTGGTAATTTAGCTCCAGTTGCTTTGGCTTTCGAGTCAACATTCCACAGGCTGTCCGGGCGACGATTCACGGTACATTTATAAAAGGGGAGCACAACAGGGTTGCATGTGGCATATAATGAAGAAGAGAGATAGATAACTGGCTGTGCCTAAATCAAGCCTTCCGACAGTTTCACAGCGTGGCAGATAATATCCTCAAAAGGCAACTAACGCTGACCCCACAGTTTTCCCAGGGGTTTAGCTGCCGGAAACGCAACACATACGCGTCATTGACGGTTGCTGAGATCTTCTTACTGTCGGTGGGCCGATCTTTTTTGCTACTACGTTGTTCTTCATCTTCTCAACCTAGGTACCGTCTGAAGCTGCTGCTTGAAATCGTGCGAGTGCCGTCACCAGTTCCGCCTCGTCCCTTTTCTTCCTTCTGCCTCCTCCCTAAACTCCCGCAATTGATCCGACAATATTGATCGCTCCGACTAAAGTCTGAAATCGGGAGAAGATATGAGGAAGGACTAAAGGCAACACCGATGATGATCAAGAGTGTCTCTGTCAAGTTGAGCGCTCGTTCTTACTAGCGCTCCTTCGCTTCACCCTTGACTCGTCCTGAATCTCCTCCGCACGACGTCTACAACTTATCCTCCTCCAACCCCCCAGCTTCGGCTGCACTCACGAGAATGCTCATTCCGCTCCGTTACCGTCGGCGCATCACCCTGATCTCTGCGGTGCTCGGGCTGTTCCTTATATACCACTTCATTTCGACTAGACCGGACCTCCCGCGACCGTTGTCGACTGTCCGCAGCAACTTACAGCAGCAGTTGCCAACGCAGCAACACCAACCTAAACTGAAGCCGGACACTCTTTCCGATTGCCCCCTCCTTCCCGGCATCGAAGATGTTTTGGTGGTGATGAAGACCGGCGTGACTGAAGCCCTAGACAAAGTCCCCGTGCACTTCGAGACGACCCTGCGCTGCATCCCCAACTACGTGATCTTCTCCGACTTCGAGGAAGAAATCGCCGGCGTGCGCATACACGATGCCTTAAGCAACATGGACCCCGAGGTAAAACGTACGGTTCCCGACTTCGACCTCTACAACCGGTTGCAGAAGCTCGGCAGAAAGGGTCTGGGAACGCAGGATTTCGCCGACGAGGCCAACTCAGCCATTGGGAAACCCAACAACCCGGGCTGGAAACTGGACAAGTGGAAATTCCTCCCCATGGTCCAGGAGGCACTACGCTACAAGAACGACGCAAAGTGGTACGTCTTCATGGAGGCCGACACCTACTTCGCCTGGCCCACGTTGCTGGAATGGCTGTCGAACTACGACCCCCAGAAGCCGCTCTACATCGGCACCGAGACCCAGATCGCGGACGTCATCTTCGCGCACGGCGGGTCCGGTTTCATCATCTCCCGCCCTGCCCTGCAGCTCGCGGCGGACGAGTACGCCGGCCGCAGCGTCGAGCTCGACATGTTCACCGACGAGCACTGGGCTGGCGACTGCGTCCTCGGCAAGGTCCTACTGGACGCCGGCGTCCCACTAACGTATTCCTGGCCTATCCTGCAAAACTCTAACGTCGGCGAGCTCGATCCCTTCACAACGGGCTTCTACCGCCAACCCTGGTGCTTCCCCGCTGTCGCGTTCCATCACCTCTCTCCACGGGACATCCGAAACCTGTGGCAATTCGAGCAGCGACGATGGAAGGTAAGATCACTCCTCGCCGTTGCAATGCTCAATACAGACGAACAAATGATTAATGGCTTTCCTAGTCCCACAAACGCCTCCTTCTACACTCAGACGTCTTCAAAGAGCTCACTTACCCAGAACTCTCCAACGTCCGCGACGGTTGGGATAACCTCTCCGGCGAGGAACACGCCTCCGTCGACACATTCCATGAATGCCAGTCCATCTGTCTCAATGATTCCACCTGTGTCCAATTCGCACTTCGCGCGGGCTCCTGTTTCACCGGCAAGACGCCTAGGCTTGGTGTGGAGAATACCGCCGTGCGATCGGGCTGGGTCATGAAGCGGATCGAGAGGATGGTGGAGTCGGCACCTTCATGTCCGAAGCCGGATTTCGGTCTATGAGCCGACAGCCTGGCGATAAGATGGTAAAGGCTGAGCCTATCATCTTGAATATCCCTGTATCACTAGAGTCTGTATTTCTCTAGCTTCTCGTGCTTGCTCTTATCTTTGCTCTCTTGCACAGCGTCAGATTATACATTGGGCAGGCGTCTCTGGTGGTAAAGCATTGGGTTCAACAGGTTATACTATACTATTTCCATTACAGGCATACTGTTTAGTGAATTGATTTCTCATTCCATTCCCTCATTCACAACTGTATACAATCTTTATTTCAAAGCCTGGTTTGTGTCCGAAAACATGACATGTGCCTTACGAGCAGCAAACCACTAAGGGCTGGATCTCGCGGCTAACCTACCCTCAGTGGTGGACTGCTAGGGTCCTCAAGGCACTGGTCGATCCGCATGATGGTCAAATTCATTGCCTTGACGAAGCGAATAACCTGTGGGAAATACTTGACCGTGCTCGGCTTCAGGTAATGCATCACAGCCAGGTTGCCCCCGCGCCTCACATCTCGATAGAAAGCCTCCAGCTGTCTCTCCGGAGTTTCCGTGTCCCCCCAGAGCCAGTCCTCAATGTCCACACTCCAGTTGACGATCTGAGGATCGGACGTGTGCACTGCAAGCCGTTGACGGGTTCTGGAGCCAATTGTTCCAAATGGTGGCCGGAAGTAGCGAGCTGCTCAAGGCTTAGTCGACGGGTCAGGCCAAAGCTTCGTACAGGATCACCTACACTCAACACCCAGGAAACTCCTGAACGCTCGGATATTCCTGATGATCTCGTCGTCGATGTCTTCGATGGCTTCCAAACCTTCCATCCTTCCGCCGTGTCAGCGCTGGTAAACAGGTTTTGCAAGGGAGCTCACTTTCGGTGTGTATTCGAGTGAAGGGCGATCTGATGACCTCTCCTTAGCATTTCCCGGTACACTTGTGTGAAATTGGTCTCTTCATCTCGGAGTCCCGCTCCGACAACGAAGAAAGTCACCAGAATGTTCTCCTTCTCCAGGATATCCATGACCTCCTGAGCAAAGCGCGGTTGCCCATCGTCTATGCCAAAAGCAAAGGAATTAGGCCTTGTGCATCTAAGAACCATCCTACCGTTGGCTAGCCTGTTTGGTACTCGAAGACCCATTGGAAGCTCCGGCACAATTTCCACCTTGTATAATGTCAAGCTTTCCTTGGAGTAGAATCCATTGAAGGACACCGACAAGACTCTGGATTGATCAATGTGGAAATGTGCAAGAGGCACGTATATCTCATTGCCATTGGTATACCTGGCCGCCTCTACTGAATCCCACGTCTCGGGGTATGGTTTCCGATAAGGGTCGCAGTTCTCATTGTTCTGGTTGAGCGAGATGCTGAACTTGTTTGTTCCCGAAAACACAATATGAAGGTATTGGTCGCTGTAGGGGAGGAAACTGAAGCATTCCGCTGCCGCTAGCTGAGTGTGATAGTTGTGGTCGGGGTCTGTTGGGAAGAATCTCACGTAACCGTCGCCATATTCAATGGGTAGACCTTCTCCTGCACCGTGCCAGAATCCGAGATTGTTCCGCAATGCGTCGTTGAAAGTATCTATGACGAGCGGTGGTCGGTGGTCTAGTCCATTAAGCAGAGACACTTTCTTCGAGTTGCGGGTGTTGTTGCTCGATTGCAGTTCGGCATACTGCTGGCATGGAGGAATATTCGTGTTCTGTGTAGGTGTGATCGACGGACTGGCAATAACCAGACTGATTAGGGAGAATATACCTATCAGCCTGGTCCATTTGAGATGGTCCAGCAGATCCATCGCGGCCATTGAAGATGATGTTCTGGGATTAAGTACAGAGGGATTCTCAAAGGATAATGATGCTCGAAGTTCCTGAGTCCGAAGAAGCGCTCAGGATAAGAAGTATGATATCCTAGGGCTGTGGAGGACGAAGAAACGACCAGGAGAAATCGCAATGACTGCATCTTGTTGGTGTGCATCTGCGAGAAAGGAAAGAACCAACTACCTTGTGCCCCGGAAGGGAGCTGCGCTCCCTTCCTCACTGGAGAAACCATACGGTATACTTGGAGCGAATCCACAGAGAGGTTGAATCAAAAGTATCAAAGTACGTCAAGTCATTATTCATCAAAATATGGTCTGTCTGAACAAGATACTAGCTAGCCATCCTTTAACGGTCCCTAGAGTCCTCGAAAATCTTGCGAAAATCTAAACAGATGTATCATCGTACCCCTAGAGGTCAGAGTTGGAAGATAATCCATCAATGATCTCCATTGAATTTCCGAGGCATGGCCAAGGTGCAAAAGACAGCCTGCCAGTAATAGACTACCATATTATGGAAAAGCAAGAGGAATGTACCTTACAGTACAGAGAACCCTGCTCCGCAGTGAAGGTATGAGATCGAGCGGCGTCAGCCATCCCCTTGCCTGGTCAAAGCGTCTAGGGACAGTGATCCGGCCAGGGACCCCTACCCAGTCACCTATCAAGCGCAAGATCAACCGCGCGATAGCTCCACCGAGAGACATAGAGGGTCAATAAAAGGTGGACCTCCCTCTTAAATCACTCCCAGCCGGTAGAGACAGGGGCATCGTTGTTGGAGGATTCCATGGGAATGCCACCCCAGCCAGTTCCGGCATCATCGTTGTTGGCGTCCGCGTTGTCATCCCCATCGGCAGCCTCGTCGTCTGTATCGTCGTCGAACTTCACCACCTCATCGGCAGGCTTGTAGGACTCAAGGAAATCGGGGACTTTCTGGCCGCTTTCAATCAAGATCTTCACGAGATCGGGGGCAATATCGGAGTTTCTGTCATTGTAGAAGGAGGTTGCAAGGCCTTCGTTTCCAATGCGTGCAGTACGTCCTGTGCACTGTTAGCTGACAGCCCAAGATAGTGTACGTGACTGATGTGCTCACCAATACGATGAATGTACTCGGTGATGCCGCCATGGGCGGTGCTTGGGAGGTCAAAATTGACGACGTGCATAACGTTCTTGATGTCCAGTCCACGAGCCGAGACGCCAGTGGCCACCATAATAGGGCATCTAGCACTACGGAAGGAACGCCTGTTGGACGGATTAGCACTAGCTTTTTGCTGCCGCGGAGGGAAGTGAACTCACAGAGCATCCTCACGTTCGCGCTGAGTCCGATCGGAATGGATTGACGTGCTCGGAAGACCCATGTTGTACAAAAAGTCATCCAGGAAATCGGCCTGAGTCTTGGTGTTGACAAAAATCAAGGTACGTGAGGGCGGCATTGCCAGCAGAAGGTCGTAGAGGCATTGCTTTTTAAGGTGATCCTCGGCATAGATGATCTATACATTTTCAGTAATGCTTCCGTCTCGGATTGAGCCTTCAAATTACTCACGGTCTGATCTACGTTTATGTGGGTGCTGCCAGGACGTCCAATGCGGATACGAACATGGTCTTCCGCAAGGAATTTGCGGGCCAAACGACGACATTCACGGTTGAAGGTTGCAGAGAACATCATGTAACGATGGTCTGCATCCTCGTTCACGTCTTCTGGATGTCAGCATAGCATTACAGAAAGGGACAAGCAGTGGCTCATACCTCCACCAGACATGATTTTGGTAAAGTCAGATTCCCAGTCGGAGAGAAGAAGCTCATCAGCTTCATCAATGATGGTATACCTTACAAGAATGATTAGTCTGTAAGTAATGATTAAGAGGATATGACTTACTTGACCCGGCGAAGGGAGAGGACATGTGGCTTGTCCATAAAGTCCAGCAGTCTGCCCGGGGTACCGATGAGAATGTCACAGCCCTTCTGGAGCTCCTCACGCTGCTCACGCACGGGAGCGCCACCATAAACGACACAGGGACGCAACATAGAGCGATAGCATAGACGACGAGCCTCGTCGAAAATCTGGGTGGATAGTTCTCTTGTTGGAGCAACGATAAGCACCAGTGGCTCGGCGCGAACAGCATCGACCGAAGGATTGAAGCCGTTGGCCAAGTTAGGACGGGGGGCTGCCAGCTTTTTTGCCTTGCCCATGAGCTGGGAAAGCACCGGAATCAGGAAAGCGGCCGTTTTACCAGAACCTAACTCATTGAGTTTGTTATTTAATTTTGTTAGACGATGGGTATGAGCTTTCGTACTCACCCGTCTGAGCTATGGCAATCAAATCATGACCGGTAAGAACAGCTGGAATGGCGTAGGCCTGGATAGGGGTGGGGACCTCGTAGTTGCACAGACGAATGTTCTCACGCATGATGGGGTGGAGACCAGCGTCATCAAACTTGAAGTCGTCAATACTGAGTACAGAACTACAGATATAGCGGGTAGCAACCAACTTACGTTCTTGACCGGGTTAGGACGCTCTCTACTTTCAGCGATGACATCGATCTTCTGCAGACTTCACAAAAGTCAGCCGGAAGCGCTTCATTGATAAGAAATGACATCCACTTACTTGCCAATCTTGAGGCCAGCACGATTGATGAACTCGTTACGGAACAACATATCCTCGAGGTCTTTGTTGGGAGGTCCGACATCACCAAACTCATCGTTCCATTCATACTTAGCAGCTTTGGCAGCCCACTCGGGGATTTGACTTTGTTCAGTGACCTCTTCCGGCTCCTCAGCAGGACCAGTGTTGTACTTGGCGTAGTCGTACTGCTCGGGTGGAACCCATCCCTTCTCGCGAGCGAGGTTGGAAGCTTTGATGTTTTTGTTTATCTTTTCGTCTGTCACTTCTTTGAGCGCACTGCTCATGTCTGTGACATCGAAGCTATCCATTCTGACGAGTGAATCGATATTTCGAACTCAGAAGGCGTAGGTAAACCTAGAACGCCTGAAGCTGTCAGACAATCTCTATAAAACACAACCTCAATGCTTGCTCGAGATCTGAGAAGAGGCTTGGCCGCAGGGAAAGAGAAGCAATGCACGCTGAGTAGGAAATGCCGATACAAGGTGCTGATAAGAGAGATATGAAGAGAGGGAACAACTGAGCGACAGAAAGCAAAGCGAGAAATACCACCTAGCAGAAACCACTTACTGTACTGGTAGAAGATGATCAAGAAACCGATGATGATCACCACGCAGAGAGTGGAGCACTGTATGAGCTTGTTCACAGAGGATAGATGAGGGGAAAAGAGGGAGATAATATTTCAGTCAGAGAAGGATGGGAGATGGAAGAAATCAAAACAAACACACACTACAGAAGCTACCGAAATAGCAGAGAGCAGAGTCGCCGACTAAGCAGACCCGTCACCCAACCTGATGCGTCCTGGTGATGCGGGTCTTTCTTCTATCAGATGCTATGTGTCTATTTGAATGCGATTGTCAGCATTGCAAGCTGAAAGAAGATAGAGCTACTACTAGAGTGTAAGATCTGGAGCACCTGGGGGAGGCAAGCGAAGTTGTTGAAAGCAATGTGTCAGCTAGGAATATAGTTAGCGCAGTGATCTCTGCGTCATTCAAAGAGCGGAATTCAAAGAGTTGTAAATCGATCCTGGAATACTGTGAATATAAGGAAATAGAGGAAAAGAAGGCTCGTTATGGCTCCTCATAGTCACCATAGCTGGTTGATGCTTCCTGATGTCTTTTCTCGTACACTAACAACCGGTATCATACATAGAAGAATTCAGGGCAGCAGAAGGATGGAGAGAATACATAATGAAAACGGACAGCTGTTGATCTTGCCAAATGCTGCCAACCTGCATCTGATATGCAGGTAGCCTTTGTTTCGTTTACCTGCGGGTTGGCATGTCTTTGGCTCTTCTCAACAGTATTTCGATCTGGAAATTCAGTACGGTAGAGTCCAGGAGAACCCAGCCTGTATTCCTCGTACGCGTAAAGCTGATCCTATGACTGGTCTGCGTCTGCTAGGTAGTATTTCAGCAAACCGGGGAGCAAACCAAATATGGTGGTCAGTCCTGAGATGAGAGCGATTGGCGTTACTCTCCGTCTTCCTGCTTCTCCAAATATCTTCATTGCATATATTCTTTGACTTCTTTTGGACCCGAACGTAACGGATAAGGGATCTTGTTCGAACGCTCCTGATCTGTCGGATGGAGCATGGTCTCTGCTGTTCTGATATCTTCTGGGAGGAATGTATATATATATATATATATGTAGTTACATGTTGCTGCCGTCAGTTGCTTCGACAAAATTGGACCGACAAGAAACAGTATTCTAGTCAGAATGTTAAGCAGACCAAATTCTTATCGAATCCGAGAACAATTCCCACGCTATTTATGATCAGCTGAGGTAGATCAGGGGTGGTAGCTCCCATGTGCAATCCAAGCCAGGAATGTAGGTAGTCAGGTGTGATGCCTCAGGCCTTCGCAAGCAAGACCAATGGGCGACAGATATCGTTTAACTAGTAGCCAAAGGAAATGACCACATCCATGACAGATCCATCACTACCTACTTCGTATGATCGGCCAAAAATGTCATTTCCTATTCAGCAACTCTCCGACAATACCCATCTACAGCTTGGTGGCAGTTGCACCCACCGAAATAAGGATTGGGATGCTCCGCCCCATCAAGTACTACCTACTAAAGCTTTGGTTCCACTCCTCAACCACCTAAAGCGGGCAGAAGGAGATATACGCTGTAGTGGTTATCACGGCGTCCCTTTACTCCGAAATGGCGACCACTGTCACCAGTGTTCTTTAAGCTTCTGCGGATAATGACACCAAGCTTGTAATCACTCCCCTTTCTCACATTTGTTGAGACTTCACCATGTCCATGTCCATGTCCTCCCCAAAGTCCAATTCGGTCGGCCCGGATGCGGTCGCACCTAGGCGTATGACTACTTCATTTACAGAACGAACCGTCCAGCTTGAACGAGCTATCACCAACCCTGGTGCTGTCAAGATTAACGTCAAAGGTGCTTTCATTGTTGACGAAGAGCCTCGATCGAAAAGTCCCGCGTCATCAACGGATGGCGTTTACTATGAGAGCCAGGATATTCGTCTCCCTCATCATACTGGCCTCGTGAGCCATGTCGCTGTCGATGTGAGTGCCTCTTCTTTTTTTTCCGCGGTTCCCCGCAGAATCATCACCCCGCAATCTCGAACAAAAAAATAGTTGACCACGCGCATACCTCTAAATGAAAAGAAAATTTCTCTGACCTTTCTACCTTTGCAAAATTTATAGATTGGAGGCTCGCTCGCGAAGCTCGTATATTTTACCAGGGAATTGGACTCTCCTGACAACGGTGGTCGCCTGAATTTCATCAATTTCGAGACTCACCGGATCGATTTGTGCATTGACTTCATCCGGCAATTGAAAGAGGAACATGAGAAACTCAATGGCCCCTCTAGAGATGAGCTGTGTGTCGTTGCTACGGGAGGAGGCGCCTACAAGTACTACGATAAGCTGAAAGAGACGCTGAACGTGAACATCATACGGGAAGACGAAATGGAATGCCTCATAACAGGTTAGTTTACTGCATTATCTCAATCTTCGCATGACAGAAACGAATACTGAACTAATTCCTGCCCAGGTCTTGACTTTTTCATTACCGAGATTCCCAATGAAGTGTTTACCTACAGCGAAGCCGAACCGATGCAATTTGCCGAGGCCCGACCGGATGTTTACCCGTACCTATTAGTCAACATCGGTTCAGGAGTATCAATGATCAAAGTATCCGGCCCAAAGCAATTTGAGCGTGTGGGTGGTACTCACCTTGGCGGTGGCACATTCTGGGGCCTGATGTCGTTGCTGACCGGTGCTCGGACCTTTGACGACATGCTGGCCATGGCAGACCGGGGCGACAACAGTGGGGTAGACATGTTAGTTGGCGATATCTATGGCATGGACTATAGCAAGATCGGACTTAAGAGCACTGCTATCGCTAGCACATTTGGCAAGGTCCTTCGTTTACAGAATGCTGCCGAGCGACATGCGGAGGATGGGGAAGGTCTCTGTCATGGCGGCCCTGAGCAACAAAATGGTGAAGTCAAGTTTCGTCATGAAGATATGAGCCGAAGCTTGTTGTATGCTATCAGGTACGTTCCTGCTTGTCATTAATGACCCGCCAATGAGCAGTCGGCGCTAACAGCATTCAGTAACAACATCGGGCAGATTGCCTACTTACAATCTGAGAAGCACCAGGTCAAACACATATACTTTGGAGGCTCGTTTATTCGGGGCCATCACCAGACGATGAATACATTATCGTATGCCATACGATTCTGGTCCAAGGGTGAGAAACAAGGCTACTTCCTGCGTCATGAAGGCTACCTCGGCGCTGTTGGCGCATTTCTCAGGAGGCAACCAGAGAACTGGGGTCGGAGAAATAGTCTTCATGACGCAAACTCCGCGATCCAGGCGGCGAAGGAAACCGTTCAATCCAAGAAAGAAAAATATTTGAGCTCGACGTAGCTCGATGGACCCGTCTCATCACGCCCATCTGGATTACCAACATTTGCTTGTCTCATTGCATTTTTGATACCCGTCCGTTGACGTTTTACTGCCCAAGTTACTCATACATTGCAAGCTCTTGACGATCGACGCTGCTCGTTCGAACTGTCCAGTTAACTGAAACACCCTCTCCGATCCTCTGACATACTCATTGGCCATCATCTGTGAGCGTTTGTAGACCATCACTTGTGTTCTGATATTTTTTTTGCTTGTATTCTTTTTCCGCCGGTGTCGTCGAGATTATGTTGCAGTGAGACTAAATGATTCTCTCACCTGCTCCTCACTTACCTGCATCCATACAGTTTGGCTCATCCTAGACATTTGCTTCTACTATCACTGCGGTTATACCTATCCTGCGCACCTACTGCCTTTGTTATTCTTATCAGGGCCGCTTGATTTTGAAATAGATTTTCAGCATATCTGTTGATGACACATAAAGGGAACTTGACGTGTTCTGAGGCTGATATTTCTAAATTTTTATTTATAGATGACTCTTGTGTCATGAATGCTTCGAGTGCCAAGGTGGCCATGATCTCTTTTGCGGTGCTTAATATCACGATAATATGAATAGGAGCGGCATAATATTGTGATTGATCCCACTGCTCGTTCATGACCAGTCTTCTACCGAAGCCCCTTGCATCTTCTATAGTAGAATCCTTGCCTCTCACTAAGACGGACTGGACCTGTCTACTGTAAGTGTACTACTATACTCAGCCATGAGTAAGTATCTAAGTGAATTTACAACGGTCGTGCATCAACATAATCACCTTAAGTCAGATGCTGTTCTTTTGAAGGGCGGATAATGGATGACTGTATAAATATTAGACGTGAGTCTCTTGTAAACAACAGCAAATCTCTTGTTCAGGATCGAATCACCTCAAATTCAGTTTTCTGCAGACTGTGCCTAGGGACTTTCGAAAGACGCTAGGGAGTATTTTCTAGGCTACATAGTACGTATATGTAGCTTGCCGAACCCTTCCATGGTGCGTTAGCGAACAAGACTAACCAAACTAACTACTAGGCACACCAACTGGATCAACTGGAGTAACTTAATCGGATATCAAGGCTTGAAACCCCACTGATCTCCAAGACGGTAAGCTAACTGTATGATGTATGTAGGGGTAAAATGAGAAGGTAACAAAATAACTGATAGCACGACAAAGAAACTACTTTTACCACATGTCATCCGTCTACAGTCCTGGAACAAACAGCAGAATATTCGGCTCTTTGTCCTTTAAAAAATTTGTCAGACACCAGACCTAGCGTCATGAAAAATAGCTACCAGGACTAAGATGGGCCAATCAGTTGCGCGCTACTTTATTGAGAGGCGTTCTCTTTCACTTTCAGTTTGAGCAGCTACCTGAAGTAGAAGCAAATCACCCAAGTTTCTTTGTACTACGCCAGAACCCAGCGTCTCTTTCTCCTTTTTCTCAAGCACATTCATTTGTCTTGCACATTCATTTCCTCCTCATATACCATCTTTCGTCTCTATCCGGTTGCACGGTATTTTCGTACAAGGTATCTAGCCGACAAAGCCCTTTCAGCTTCACCGCAAACATGGGGGATCAGTACGTATGACATTTAAATGCATACACGTAAGTCCAGACGCACTGACATCTGTACTTGACATTCTAGCTCTACGGACGCAATAGATATTCACTCCGACGACGAGCGGAAACCTTCACTATCCGCCTTGGATACTGATGAGCAGGTCCCTCGTCGGACAGTTAAGATCAACCCGATACCGGAATTCGGTCCTAAGCAACCGATGCCCGAGCATCTCGTTGACATCCTCGAAGAATGGCATAAGGAGAATGGTCGTAAGCCCCCGCGGTGCGCATATGCAAACAACAAAGGAACGTACAAGTGGAAGGTCTTTGACCGGGAGGGCAAGGAGTTGGAACTTTCAAAATTCGATATCCTCTCTCCGTGTGCGTACTCGGTCCTCGTGCTGCATTCGCCTGACTTCCCACAGAAGCTGGTCAGAAGCCGTTGGCCGCACTACAGGAAGCACGGAAGTTTCCTGATCGCGTGGCAGGGTGTGGCCAAAGGATTCGACGCCAAATGCTGCGCCATTCGTGTTTTTGCTCCGAAACTGGAGGAGATCCCCTACTCTCAGGATGTCTGGAAAATCACAATCCCCGATCTGGATAAAGAGGGTGAGGGTATCAAGAAGAGGCCCCTGCCAGTAGCCACGGCTCCATCTCAGTCGCGCATACGGAACCAGGGACAAGAGCGGGAATGAGAAAAGGAGCCGGAAATGAGGAAGAGGGTGAGCCGTCCCAAGCGCGAAGTCTCTACCAGCAATTCGAACTCTGGGGATGCTTCAGAGTCATCTGATGAAACAGACTCATCGGCAGAAGAATCCTCGGACGCTTCATCATCGTCCGAAGAGGAAAACGTCACTGCACCAATTGCCAAGAGGCGCAGGCTTCAACAACGAACATCTAGTACCCTAGTGAGGACTCGCAAGGCGACCAACCCGGCCAAAGCAACCAACCCAGCCAAGGTGACTTTCAAGCTTGTCTCCTACAGGTCGGGCGCTATTCGCGCCTTTCCCCTAGACGAATGCAAGTCCGGGAGAGATCTTTTCGACAAGGCACGGACATTTTTCCGACTATTCGACAGAAATGTCGACGTCAAGATTCTTTCGTGCCAGGTATCGTCTGAGCGGGCCCAACATTTTCTTTTCGGCAGCGAGGGTGAATTTGAGCTTCTCATTAAACACGCCAAGGACAGCAAGAGCACAGATGATGGAACAGTTACCATTGAAGTAAACCATTTTTTAGAACCTTGAGGAGGTCTTCAAACTCATTTGTTTCCCATCATGTCAGGTCATCGGTTATCCAAGTTTCTCGACGATCAAGGAATGGGCGCATCGAGATTATGTTGCATATCAATCAGTTTTTCTTCAAGTATCTTCTAGCCAGTTGCTTCGAAGTACATAATACTATTTCATGAATATCAACGCCGAATGTACACCAACCGAAATCATTGAATAACTCATATCAATTGTTCTAGTGGGCTAGAAGGATTTGCACTTGTGGAAAAAGATATTCGTCTCTCTACTGGAGATAGGCGCTGGGACTTAAGGTTGCAGTTGATGGCAGAATGACTAATTAACCACGTGGGCTTGAGCGTCTCCGGACAGTTTGGCCTCCTTTCGGTCCCCTGAGACCGAGCAGCTTTTCCTTCAAAGAAACTGCTACTAACCATGCTCCAAGCATGAATTTAGCGTCTGCTCGATGCCTCCTCCACCCGGCTCACCTCCCCCTATCCCTCCGCCCGTCCCCGTTGAGACTCACCCCAACCGAACAAGCAGCTTGAAGCCTCCTCCGGAGCACCGGGCGCTCCCAGACCCTACACGGCTCGCTCCAGAAGACGCCTATTTCTCCTCTGCTCATCTAAGAGGTCGGACTGCGAATGCAAACTACGATGACTCACTCCGAGCGCTGAATGGCAACGCTGCTGCTTTGCGATCGCAGCCCGCGTTTCCAGGCGCGGACGGTCGAAAAGAGCGCAAAGTGAGGGGGCCGAGCAGACGGAGAAGACGAAAAGGGGCATGGAAGAAGTTACTCTGGGTGAAGCAGTCATGTAAGTCTTGACCAGAAATTTTATCGGTGTAAAATCCGGTTGCCAGAAGGCTGACGATCCTGACGGGCATGGCCACAGATCCGGACAACTACACCGACACCGAAACCTTTCTTGACCATCTCCAACGCAACCCGCGCGTGCGGCCATACGACTTCTGGCCTCTAGTGGCTGACTCGACAGTGATTGTTCAGCATGTCTGCTCTGTGGCGATTTTCGTGTGCTGTTTTGTTGGAATCCTCCACCAGAGAGTGAGCCCTGTTTCAGTCGTTTGCTGGGGCAGTGTTGGAACGGCCATGGGGTGGATTCTCTGGGACTCTTGGGTTTGGAGAGAGCATCATGCCGAACAGGCTCAAAATGCGGAGCGAATCCTGGACGGGGACGATGGTTCTAGTTCGAGCTCGGCAGCGAGCTCGGTCAATCCGTCGTCGGGGGGTGCGTCGCGACTGGTTGGTCCGAAGGATGGTCAGAACGAGGTTCACGGGCTGGGACTGACCATGTCGAGCGGTGAACCTCACGAATTGCTGCGGCGACGTAGCACAGGATTCAGTGGTGAGGCTTTTGGCCCGTCTGATCCTGGCTCACCTGGTCATCAGGCCAATGGTGGCCTCAGCAATACGCAGCTATACCATGGCGCCCAGGAGACCGACCAGACTTTGTTACTCTCGTCGAGGAACCGCCAACGGCTCTCGACTGTGAAGTCGGCGTTCCTGATCTACTTTTCGCTACTGGGGCTCAGCCCGATCCTGAAATCTCTTACCAAGTCTACCGCCGGCGACTCCATTTGGGCGATGAGTTGCTGGCTGTTGTTCATGAACATATTCTCCTTTGACTATGGAAGCGGGGAAGGCGCGGGCGCCACCAAATTCCCGGCTTCGCTGTCCACTAATGCGGCTGTGATGGCATCGACCGTCCTCGCGTCTCGTCTGCCGTCTACAACCCATGTCTTCAGTCTCATGTTGTTCTCGATTGAAGTCTTTGGACTGTTCCCGATCTTCCGCCGGCAACTACGACACACCTCCTGGACGGGGCATGTCCTTCTGACGCTGGCGCTGGTCATTGTTGCCGGGGGTGCTGTCGGAATGACCATGCACGGAGGGTGGACCGCCGCGGTGGTCGGGTCGTTCTTAGGAAGTATTATGACAGCTTTTGCCATGGGGGGATGTAGCTGGTGGCTCATCAGTCTTCAGAAGTACAAGAACGTGGTGACAGGGCCATGGGACCCAGCGCGGCCGATTATCCGGCGGCAGTGGGATTAGCTGGATGCCAGATTGCAAGATTTTGGGAACTGGCCTTCAGCCCGTCTCTATGATGCAATTTACTTTGTGATATTCTACTTTGAGCTTGTCGTGGTGTTCCGGTCCCGGATACGATACCCATTTGATCTTCTACATGATGTTTATATTTAGTACCTAGACTCCGTAAGGACCATAATCTCGTGACTGGCTTCACAAGCCAGGTCTACTGAAGCGCAGCAAACTTGACAGTAATTTGTAATGCCTCGTGGTTTCATGCTCAGCGCACTGTTCACCCGTCTTGCGCGTCGAATACCGCAACCCCAGGAATGTCCTGTCCAGCATACCAGAGGCGGAGGCTACTGTTTTGAGAAGAAATCCTCCTGGGCAGCAGTGGAAGCAACAATATCCGGATTTGATCCCAGCAACATTCTTGCTTCAGAGGGAGGTGAAAGATGATTACTATCATTGCTTTGGGGCTGGATCGTCTCATCATGTGTTGTTTCATTGTATGCTTCACCTTTGCATCTGACACCAGATATTTCTAATGGCGAAGCATGCTTGAATAACTTGCATTGGGGCCGGATGCCTAGGAGGCATTCTGTTTCTCCACTGTATCATGCTGGGGCTGGGAATGTTTATCATGTTGTTACTCGGCGTGGTTGCTGATGGGGCGAAGCCAGCAAAGCCACTGTGAAGGGGCCGCTTGGTCTATTAGCTTCAGGATATAACTACCTCTCACCAGTTATGCATCTCTTTCTTTTCTTTGATATTTCACTCTGAAGGATTCTGCCAAAGTTGGCACAACCCAGAGCGTCGGACTTGCGTGGTTTATCTTGGGCTGATTTGTCCATCTTCAGTCTGCTCGGTGGGCTTCTGCTCGTCTTTCTTTCTTCCTTTTCGACACTCTTTTCATCAAGCACTTTCCGTCTCAATTCGCTCAATACAAGATGCTCAAATCCCTCGTGTTCAGCCTGATGGCTGTCCAGGCCGCAATGGGCTCCAGATTTGCCATGTACATCGATCAGTAAGAGGCCTACCTAGACTTCCTGCAATCAACGCAGGAAGAAATTGACGAAATGAGACTAACAATTCAGGTACCACACTGTTGATCTCCCGGGTAGCGACCAGACCCAGGCCATCACCCATGCCATCATGGCTTTCGCCCCATCTAAGCAGTTCAACACCGACTCCTCGTTCACTCCTTTTGAGACTGTCGAGACGATGCGTAAGCGCTTCGGCCCCGACACCAAGGTCATGATCGCCATTGGTGGATGGGGTGATACCGCTGGCTTCTCCGACGGGGCCAAAGATGAAGCCTCTCGAACCCGGTATGCGAAGAATGTTGCAACGATGATCAACAATCTGGGCTTCGACGGTGTTGGTAAGTTTGAAATCGTGGGCTGAGAAGCTACACCCACATGAATATTCAACGCTCACACTAGCTGATGGTAGATATCGACTGGGAATACCCCGGTGGCAATGGGGAGGATTACAAGAAAACTCCAAACTCCCAGAAAACCGGCGAGATCGAGGCGTATCCGCTCTTCCTGCAGGCTATCCGCGACGCCATTGGCAAGGACAAGATCCTGTCCGTTGCAGTCCCCGGCAAACGCGGCGACATGATTGCTTTCACAAAGGAGCAAGGACCCAAGATCTGGTCGTCTGTCGACATGGTCAACGTCATGTCGTACGACTTGATGAACCGCCGCGACAACGTGACAAACCACCACACCAGCGTGGCCGGCTCCTTGGATACCATCAAGGCGTACAAGGAGATCGGTCTCGACACGGCGAAAATGAATCTGGGATTCGCGTACTATGCCAAGTGGTTCACGACTGATCCGAACAGCGACTGCGCCGAGCACCCGATCGGATGTGCCGTCGTGACGCTGGAGAACCCCGATGGATCGGACACGGGCAAATCTGGCGCCCTGACCTTCGAGAAGAGCACCATGGCGTCTCCCCCGGATAATCTGAAGACTTCCACGGATGGAACCTGTGGTTATGCCAAGGGGACGAAGTGTCCGTCTGGTTCGTGCTGCAGTCAGTATGGAAACTGGTATGTTTGTTTTCTCTACTCAACTCTACTAAGACGCTTCTGGGCTTGACTAATCCGAACAGCGGCACCGGCGACGACTTCTGCCAGGCAGGCTGTCTCTCCGACTATGGCGAGTGCAAGGGCATTTCCGTCACCGATTCCTGGCGACGCGCTCTCAAGGACGGCAAGATGGATGAGCAGTTAGGCGGACAGTACTACTGGGACAGCACGGTCAATCTCTTCTGGACCTGGGATACCCCTGAGATAATCGATCGCAAGTTCAAGGACATTGTGGCAGCGGAGAAGCTGGGTGGTGTCATGGCTTGGAGCCTGGGAGAGGATACTCTGAACTGGGAGCATCTCAAGGAGATGCAGAAGGGGCTTGTGCAGTAGTCGGTACTTCATACTTTGGGGGAAGGGGTATAGCCATGGTTCAGGGTTAATACCCTTAGAATCTGATTGCGCTTTAAATCGTATTGATCTCTGTCCGTAGTAGATAGATCGTCCGTCGAATTAGTTGTCGTCGTATGTCCGAAGCAGGTAGAAAGAATTGACCAATCCGGTGGCGGAATGCGGCACGGGGCCTGGACGGTGGCCGCCATTCCATCCGCAAACATCAAATGATGCAGAGACCAGCACCACGCCTTCCATCGCTTTTAGCAATTTAAGAGGACATGAACCTCAAGGCAAGCAACATGTTGCATATACATCTCTCTGCACAGCAACCACGCTGCAACGATGAGACTCGTCTACCTCCTTCTCCCCTTGTGCCTGGGGCTACCAATCACCGTTCCCGTCGAAGGCACGGAAGTATACCAGCTCCAACACCAACTCCAACACCCTGAATATCACCAACAACAACAGCAACAGACAATCCTTGCACAAAACCACTCAGAGGAAAACCGATCACAAATCCAACCTAGCTCTAGTTCCCATGGCTCATTCATCAACCTCAACCTCAACCTCCGCAAGCTCAAGCTCAATCCCAACCACCAGTCCAAAACCAACAACAACGATACCAACCAACCCACCGACAAAATCCTCCAAGCATACCTCCACACCCTCCACACCTCCCACCTCTGCGCCCACGCCCTCTCGCAACACGGCCCCGAGCTCCTAGTCCTCGCGCTCTTCTCCCTCCTCCCCGTCACCCTCTGCATCCTCGCCATCGCAGAGCGCATCGCCCGCTCCTGGACCGTAGAGGCGTATCCCGAGCGCGGGCGCGACAGGCGCCGGTTTTTGGGTCGAGAGCGGCGATGTCTGATGCAGGCGAGGAGGGAGAGGGAGAAGCGGGCTGTGCTGGAAAGGGGGTGGTGGATTGCGGAGCGGAAGCGTTGATGACAGTTCAATTCAATCGTCTTTGAGTTTTTGATCTGATCTGGTGGAGGCCGCGGATAGGGAAGACGAAGAAGCTTGCAGATGCGTCTCAGTTCTTCTCGCCGTCTCTACGAGGGAGAGTGGTGCGCTGCCCTGACGCGATTGGTTTTGCTGAGGGCGACGCTGCTCGAATGTGGGGCAGATTAATCGGATTCTTTACTTGTGATGCAAGTCGCATTATTTGTGATTGTGATGCGGTGGTTCGTGGATCGGACCGACCGAGGATCAGGATGGCTGGCCCATCTTGATTATCCCGCTCAGAGTTGAGTGAGATCTGATATGAAGACGGAATATCAGACGACGAACTTATTTACAGTCTATTGTATGTATAATACAGTCTGGATAATATACCTAATATACCCATGCGACGGTTAAACCCGGCATAACCGACCATTCTGATCTGGCAGCCCATCCTCACTCCCCACAGCAGTAGGGGCATAGAACAATCCAAACGGATCATACCGCTGCTTCAGCGTATACAGCCGCGCATAGTTCTCGCCATAAAACGCCTGCTGGAAGATTGGCTCGAGGATGTCCGCCTCCGACATGTAGGCGCCTGCATCAGGGCAGGTAGCTCGCCATTGGCCCAGCACATGGTTGCTGAAGTAATTCATGGTATCCAGAATCTCCGCGTTGGTGGCATTGCTGGCCCAGCTGGTCGAGGTGATGGCGTGCAGGAGGGCGTTGCGGAAGGCCGGGTTCGCAGAGCTGGCCGGGTAGCCGTCCGGCAGCTCGGCTTTGAGGTTGAAGGCGAGCAGGGGAAATCCAGCCTCGACGGTGGACTTGAGCGTTTCAAAGGTGGTGTTGAGGAGAGCGGCGTTCTCCCAGTTCGCACGGGGGAAGAGCCGCGAGCCGGTCATCATCGTCGACGAGGCGACCGTCTCCAGGGGGAAGCCGGCCTGCCAGGCGTCGTAGAAGTTGTCGTAGTAGGTCGAATTGGGGGTATAGGTGATACCGAGCTCCTCGAGCTGGTCGTACCAGGGCCTCATAAGAGAGTTGAACTCCGCGACGGTGTGGTTGACGGCGAAGTAGGGGTTCATCAGGAACATGAAGGACTCGGTCCCTGTGGCCATGACCCAGAAATAGGCGTAGGTGCCTGCGTCAGCGTTGACGGCCAACCGGTCAAAGTAGGCGCGCACGCCTGCCCAGAACGCGTCGACGGAGACGTTGGTGCCAGTCGAGAATGAACCGGTCGACACGGTGGCGCCGACCTTGGGGTGGACGCGCGAAATGATAGAGGTGACCACACCATAGGTGCCTACTACCTTAGTATGGGAAACTCTTCCAGGAGACGGGACAGGACGTACCTCCACCACCTCCACGCAAAGCCCAGAACAGGTCGGGATCAGTCTCCTCGGTCACGGTGACGAAGCGACCATTGGCAAGAACCACCTCCAGGGCCAGGACTTGGTCCGCAGCCAAGCCGTAGATGCTGGACAAGGGGGAGTGACCACCACCGAGGACGTACCCACCGGCCACGCCAACAGTCTATCGTTCTGTCAATGACGGGTTACAGGGAGCCATGAATGAGCTTACCTTGCCTTCGCCACCAACGGCAGTGAACCCGAATTTCTTAGCCTTGCTGTAGATCTCAAACGCCTGAACCCCGGCCCCCATCTTGACAGCGGGACCGCTGTAGCGAGAGCTTTTGTAGTTTTCAATGTACTCAATATCTTTGAGGTTGTGGGTCCAGATGCCCAGGGCACCGGCACCGGTGGACTTGCCGTTGAAGTCGTGGCCGGTGTTCTTGACGACCAGACGGATGCCAGTGTTGCGCGCAAAGTTGACAGCCAGCTGGATCTGAGCCACATTGCTCACATTGACCGCGTAACTGCTGTAACCACCAACTGTGCAGTTGCCAGAGGGGTCGTCAGTAGGCAGACAGGTTCTGCCCTCAACCTGTGCCCTCGTACAATGGCCACATAATCGATGCGGGATCAGCAGCACTGCCCAATCAGCCAGGGCTCATTGTTGGAACGACAGAACTTACTGCATGTACGAGTTGGTCCAATGTGACTTGACGGTCTCACATTCCACCGCATCGTACTCGGGCCATGAGGAATAACAAGAAGCAGCCAGAGGGACGGTTTTGACAAGTGCACCGCCCAGAAGTAGGTCAAACAGCTCCCAGGTTCCACTTGGACGGCCATAGATTATCGTCTGGGAAGATCTTGCAGAACTTGACACCGCGAGCGGTTAGATTAGCCGAGACAGAAGCATTGTTACCAAACGCAAAGAGCTGGGTCTGGTTCGAATGGTGGAGCTGATGTTGGCCAGCACTGCATCTGTCAGCTGCAGAGTCTCTGCGGGGAAGAGAGACGCCCCCGCAGTTGTCGAGTTGGAGGACACGGACTGAGCAGCGACAAGTGTGGCATTGGATTCGGCCGTACAGAAGTTACGGAGGGCAAGACCCACAATGAGGATGGCTGTGAGGGAGAACGGCTGACGGGGAGCCATCTTTTGGAGCGAATGACCGGAAGGTCAGCCACGGCTGACCAAGTCAGGGATGAAAGACTGGTATTTAAAGACTGGGATGATGCTCAACCATTCAACAGAGAGTGTTTAGGCACACCGGATAAACTCTGCATGAAGTATCTATGCCGTGTCAGCCATCACTATGGAATCGTTTCCAAGTAGGGAGACCTTGGTCAGGAGTAGTGTGCAGCATGGCTGGACTAGTTCAGAAATTGACCAGTGAGATCAATGCTCGAGTCATGTTATTGATTCTGACAGGCAGCAGGGATGTAGGTTCGTTAGTAGATAGATAAATAGATACTCAAGAAGTGCTTAGAAGTTGAGAAGAGATGAAATTGTTCCCGACCCTCAGTCGATGGTGATGCGCTTCACGCCTCAGGCCACAAGCCAAAGCTTTAATGCCTCACTTGTAGCGTTTGGTAAACTCCGGAGTAAATGAGATAAATAGTCACAGTGTCTGCTCCTCGCTGTCCTCTTCGTCGATATCTTCCAGTGCAGTTTAATCGTACACCTCCATCGAGGGAGGAGAGAGCCTTCTATGTCACTACCGCAGCGCTCAACCTTTTCACCGACTTTGTCGTCCTCTCCGTCCCCATAACTGCCGTCTGCATCATTCCCTGCTTTGATAGGGCGTAAGGGCTCTGGCAGCATCACCCGGCCGAAAAGGACTCTATCTAATTGGAGTGATTCAACCTGGAATATCAGTTTCCGTATCACCGCGATGAAGTTCAAGTTGCCGATTGCTGCATTCGCCCCTCCATCAAAGCTATTCTCGGCAAATACCTCATCTCCTCGGCACCTCCAAGGGCGGCTCGTCCAAGTATGAGCCACGAACAGCTGGAGCCGCCGGTGCTAGTCAGGTTTAAGCTTCTCTCGGACCAAGTCCGTCTGTGGCACGGACGACAGGTTCGACCTGGCGGATCCGTACTAGGCAAGACGGACGAAATCTCGGTCGCGAGCTGCACAATTACACTAGACACCAGACCCGGAGATAGTACGGAGTACCAGCGTTAGCAGCGATGGAGTAGTGGAGATTATTCACACGAGTGGCGTGTCGGTGCGGCATAAAACAAGGGAAGAAGAGAACCTCATATCGCACTCGCGCGAGAGGAAAACTGCACGAATCGACATCCTTGTCTAGATTCTCTTCTCGTTCGTCGATGTATATATGAAGATAATATGCCATACTACAATGTCTGCATTATAAAATGGCTACACAGGATCCCAGCCGAGTTACTGCCGATAAGTGCGGGGTCATGGAGTGCTGCTGGTGATAAAAGTCGCACAGAGCCCCTCATCGCTGATCTTTCCAACTCACCTCCTTCTGCCACCAAATAGGAAAGATATCGAAAATGGCCAAGACGTATCAGTTGCCATTCAAGGTATGCGGCACTATCAAATCAGCAGCTTGCAATGGCTAACGTTCTTCAGCTTCAAGACCCCAGTCTTCTCCGTTTCGACTCCTTTGTCGGAGACGAATGGGTTCAGGCCAAAAGTGGGAAACGATTCGAAGTCGTTGGTAGGAACAAACCGTTATCCTCTTATTGAACCTACAGTAACATCAGCATAGACCCCGGCACCGACACACCCTGGGCCAGTTGCCCTGCTAATGGCGTGGAAGACGTGGATCGCGCTGTCCAGGCCGCCCACGCCGCGTTCGAAACCTACAAGAAGACCAACCCCCGGCAGCGTGCCCAATGGCTCATGAAATGGGACGCTCTCATCCGGGAGGCGCGGTCCGACCTCGCCCAGATCCTCACTCACGAGACGGGGAAACCCCTCGCCGAATCGTATGGGGAGATCGACTACGCCACGGGCTTCACCTGGTGGTTTGCTGGTGAGGCGGAGCGCATCCACGGCACGGTCAGCGTGCCCTCGGCGCCCAACCGGCGCGTCTTCACAGTCAAGCAGCCCATCGGTGTGGCCGCGGCCTTGGTCCCCTGGAACTTCCCCATTGCCATGGTCCTGCGCAAAGCAGGCGCCGCCTTCGCAGCCGGCTGCACAATGATCGTCAAACCTAGCCCGGAAACTCCCATCACCACACTTGTGCTGGCGCACCTAGCGCAACGCGCAGGTTTCCCAGCAGGCGTGTTCAATGTACTGACCACCGACCTGGAAAATACGCCGCCGCTCAGCGAGGCGCTTTGCAAACATCCGCTCGTCAAAAAGGTAACCTTTACGGGATCCACGCGCGTCGGCAAGCTGATCGCTGCGCACTGCGCTGAGGGGTTGAAGAAGGTGACACTCGAGCTCGGCGGAAACTGCCCCTTCATCGTGTTCGACGATGCGAACCTCGACCAGGCACTGGACCAGCTGATGGCGCTGAAATGGCGGCATGCAGGCCAGGCATGCATCACCGCCAACCGTGTATACGTGCAGGCGGGGATCTATGATAAATTCGCACAGATGCTCAAGGAACGCACAGAGAAGTTGGTCGTCGGCCACGGCGCGCACGAGGGCACCACCATGGGCCCCGTCACGACACCGCGGGGCCTGGACAAGGCGCAGGCGCAGGTCGAGGATGCGCGCCGGCTAGGGGCGGACGTGATCCTCGGCGGCGGACCAGTCTCTGGGCAGAGAGGGTACTTCTTCCAGCCAACCATCCTGACGGGGATGAGGGAGGAGATGCTGGTGTCGCGCGAGGAGACGTTTGCGCCCATTGCGGCGCTCTACCGGTTTGAGACGGAGGAGGAGGCCGTGCGCATGGCCAACAATACAAGCATGGGACTGGCCAGCTACGCGTTCACCAAGAATATTGACCGTATGTGGCGGATGTTGGAGAATCTTGAGGCGGGCATGATTGGCATGAACACCGGCAACGCGTCGGCAGCAGAGTCGCCGTTTGGCGGCATCAAGGAGTCGGGATACGGCAAGGAGAGTGGGAAAGAGGTGGCTGTCAACGAGTATCTGATCACGAAGACTGGAACCCTGACTATTGAGGGGCAGTACTAGCAGATTGTTGTATCTTTTTGAACGTGAGTCAATTTGCTATCTCTCCGGATGCCAACTTTGCATGTGACAATCGGTAAAGAAGCGACTCCAGCCAAGTATCTACGATCCAAACGGTAGGAATAATAATAAAATACTCCGTAGAAGATGACACGATATCGTGCTCTTCTCCAAAAGAGCTCTTGTATAAACAACTCAGTCAATAGATCACGTACCAACCAGACGCGGACTGCTCGTGGAAGATTCCCCTTTGCGTATTCTAAACGAGCGACCGAGTAGTTATGCATAATGCACACGGACCCCTCTTCATATGATGCTTATTCTCGGAGAGCTCTTTCAGAATTGAGTAAAGTAGCCTTAGAAGAAACAACAATAATACTCCGTAATAAACAACGATTAGACTATCTGCAGGCTACACCACTCTCTCCACAATAATGGCCGAATATGTTACAACGTCCGCAGCCGGTCGCATCGTCGAGTCTTCCACTTTGAGAGTGTGAGACGAGAGATCGTTTAGTTCTCCTATTCAATAATAATCATGATGCAGAGAAATTGGAGAAATTGAAATCATCGTCATCTACCTCCAGTTGTTGGTCGGATATTTCCGCTCAGTCGTCTGCCGTCTTTTTAACGATCAACTAGACTATTTCTAGACTATCTCTCGTCCACGAGATGCGAAACTTGCACGACAGACTCCGCTACAGCGTGATCGTCGATTGCCTAATCGAGTAAGCATCCGCTCTTGCTCTCCTCTGCTTTCTCTCTCTCTCTCTCTCACTACAGACTCCGGGGCGATCGTAGCGATCGTAGCCTTGTCTTGTTCTGCATCGCTATTATTAAATTGACTCGAGCCCCTTGTTTTACTTTATTCATCCTTCTTGGTTATTTCTGTCTTTTGACGTCGTTCCTGCATTGTTATCTTGTTGACTCTTCTTTCATGACGCATTAGCCTTCATTGTTTGGTTGGTCTACATAAACGAGGCGGACTTCTCTCTTCATTTCCATTTCCTTTCCTTCTTCTCCTCTCATAATAATGGATAACGATACCCTCGACTCCCTGCGACACCTCATCCAATGTCACCCTCTCATCGATAATCATGCGCACAACATCCTCGACAAGGCTTCGGCCTGCAATTACGCTAAATATCCCTTTGAGCAGATCACCTCTGAAGCTCAAGGGATAGCTCTACAGAATGCCACTTCTACACTGCCGCTTCACCGGGCGGCCTCCCAGCTTGCTGTCCTATACGGCTGCCCCTCGTCCGACTGGGAGCAAGTCAAGGCGGCCCGGCAGGGATGGGTGGAGCGTGACTACGACGGCTTGATCCGCCGGTGCCTGCAAGGGACCCATACCTTGCTTCTGGACGACCTCCTCACCGACCAGGACATCGAGCCGTACCAATGGCACGATCAATTCACTGCGTCCGCGACCAAGCGCATTGTGCGCATTGAGGTCTTGGCGGCGCGGATGCTGGCGACCGTGATGCGCGGCTCTGGCATTCCCGAGGCCGGAGACGTGTCTGCCCTTCAGAGTCGGTTTCTGGCGTTCCGCGATGGCTTTAGCAGGATGGTCTCGGAGGCTATCGAAGACCCCGCAGTGGTGGGGTTCAAATCGGTCATCTGTTACCGGACCGGGTTGAACGTCCAGCCAACGGATGAAGACGCAGGCGTTCTGTTGCAATCGTTTGCTCGCACCATCCGCGCCTCAGAGGCCGAATATCGGGTCGAGGACAAGCCCCTGAACGATTGGCTTGTGCGTCAGACCCTCGACCTGCTCCAAGCCGCCAAATCCGGCAGCAAAAACTGTAAAAACAAGCCGTTGCAGCTCCATACTGGTCTCGGCGATAACGACATCAGTCTGGTGCTAGCCAACCCAGCCTACTTGCAACCGCTGATTGCGCGATATCCCAAGGTTGACTTTGTGCTGCTGCACTCCTCCTATCCGTACACGCGTGAGGCGGGCTATCTGGCCTGTGTCTATCCCAATGTTTATCTCGATCTCGGGGAGGTCTTCCCCATGGTCAGTCGGGATGCGGAGGAGTCCATCGTTCGGGACAGCTTGGACATTGTCCCGACCAAGCGACTCCTCTGGAGTACGGACGGCCACTTTTTCCCGGAAACATTCTACCTAGGCAATAAGCAGTTCCGCGAAGTATTAGAAAAGGTATGTCCCGTCGTTGCTTCTATGGTGTTACCAGCCGTTCTGATTGTCTCGCAGGTCTTTGTAGACTACGTCCGTCAAGGAGACTGGACGGTCACCCAAGCAAAGGAAGCAGCGGCGGATATCCTTTTCCACAACTCCAACCGTCTCTACGACCTGAACGAGCAGCCGTCGTTCGACCAAATATCCAAGCAAATCACCATCCCCTCCACCCACGCTCTGGACATGTTCATGCGGTGTAATCCCGACGTCAAGTATGTGTGGATGCAATGGGTCGACTACACCGCAACGACCCGCCTACGGATCTTCCCCATTCTAGAATTCGCCAAAATCGTGCGCAAGCAGCGTCGCATTGGAATCAGTCTCTGCGTCTTCTGGATGTTGCAGGACGACTCCATGACCCCCGAAGGCACGACAACCGGCCAATTCTACATGGAACCCGACCTGACCAGCCTCAGCCCCAACGTCGGCCTCGACTCCAGAAGCGCCACCGTCATGACCTTCTGGCGATCCGAGGAAAACACACCCCTCGAGGGCTGTCCTCGGACCGCACTCCAAAACATCGTGCACAAACTGCACACTGACCACGGCATCGCCGTTACCTGCGGCTTCGAAATTGAAGTTGTCTTCCTTCGCGCCGACACCGACCCCTCCACCGGCGAAACCCGGTATCTCCCCGCGGTAACCAACCACTCCTGGTCCCAAATGACCAGCGACACGCGCCGCATGCTACCCCTTCTCGAAGAGGTCGCCGACACCCTGGCGGCCATCGGCATCCCCCTCGAACAATTCCACTCCGAGTCCGCCCCGGGCCAATTCGAATTCGTCCTCCCGCGCAACAGCCCCTTAGCCGCCGTCGACACCCTCCTCAAAGCCCGCCAAGTCGTCATCCACATCGCCGAGCGCCACGGCCTCCGTGCAACCCTCCACCCGCGACCCCTCCCGAACGTCGCAGGCACCGCCTCCCACGCACACGTCTCCATCTCCCCATCCACAAACGAGGACGCCTTCCTCGCCGGCGTGCTGGCGCACTTCCCGGCCCTGCTGGCCTGCACCCTCGCCCAAGACACCAGCTACGACCGCGTGAAATCCGGCCTCTGGGCAGGCAGCGAGTGGGTCGCATGGGGCACGCAGAACCGCGAATCCCCTATCCGAAAGATTGAGCCCGGACACTGGGAACTCAAGTCCCTCGATGGCCTGGCGAACATGTACCTCGCCATGGCGGCCTTCCTGGCAGCCGGGTACCTAGGCCTGGAGAACAAGACTCCTCTCACGGTGAAGGACTGTCTCTGTATGTTACTTTCCTGCCTTCCCACCACATGAAAATGCGTAATGTGATACTGACGATAGCAAGACGACGCGGAGACCCTCACCGACGCACAACGACAGGACCTCGGCATCACGACTCGGCTGCCTAAAACTCTCGCGGAGAGTCTGGATGCGCTCGAGTCTGATCATGCACTTCAGGAACTGCTCGGTCCGATCCTGGTTCGCAACTACGTGATTGTCAAGCGGGCCGAGGCCAAGAAGCTGGCTGCTATGGGCGACGAGGAGCGGAGGAAGTGGCTGGTAGAGCGGTATTGATTATGTCCTCTTCACAGAATTGCAATCCCTACTTCAAATCCCATGATATACTCTACCTGGACTGGGTGCAATTGGTATAGACCGACTAGCTAATGAATGGTTGAGAAAGCGAAAGCCTTGCCTTATGCTGCCTCTGAATGCAAAATTTTCTTCGATTATTTAATTGTTTTGTTTCATGCATTATGATAAGACATACAAAGGGGTATCACGTTTATCGACCTCTAACCGTATACAGAGGGGTAGTCCCATCAGAGAAGAGAAAAAATTAAAAAGGATGCAGGCCAGGAGAGTCATGCAATGCAATCAACCGAAATCAGAGACGGTAAGAAACCCGTCCCATGTCATAAACCGCATTCAAATAACGTCACGACGCAGAGGGCGACGGAGACGGGGACTTTCTATCCCGCAGGCCCCGTTCCGCCCATTCATCCAACAGTCTGGAGACTTCTTTGAACGACACCGGTTTCGTCAAAAACAAGTCCACCCCGGACGTGATGGCCTCCGACTCGTCACGCGTACTGCTCAGTCCCGTCAATGCAATGATCGTGGCCGGCCCACACCCATCGCGCTCTTTCTCCAGTGCGCGGATGGCGCGCGTGGCTTCGAAGCCGTTCATAACCGGCATAGACATATCTTTCCTTCGTCAGCAAGTCAGTTTAATCTGGGATTGAGTGGCCTACCCATGAAAACAAGGTCGTAACCCTGCTGCAACCTTTCCACCGCGTCCACTGCCAATTTGCCATTTTCTGCAGAATCCAGAACCTCCAGATCCCGTTTCTTCATAAAGGTCAACATCAAATTTAGATTGATCGGATTATCATCCACTACGAGGACGCGTGCCTTGCGCTCTACGCGCTTGCACGCCGTCTCCGACGGCGTGAAAAGCGGCGACATGGAGGTATCGCTGCCATGAGGGACCTCGACAATGTCGGATGAACTTTGTGACTTGCCCGAATCCTCGGAGGAAAGACTCCCGGGTCTCATAGAGGTGGCGGGAGTGTAATCGCCCGTCGCAGCAAGCGGGTCTGCGTCAGTCAAGTCCGGACACGGCGAAGCGCTGCCACTACTCATCCGGGGACGTTCCGGAAGTTCAATGCGCGGTGGCAACGCGACGCCCCCGCGTGGTCCATTATCAAGACATTTCCTGATGCAACGGGCAAGCTTGTGCGGACCGCACGGGCGACGGATGATGTCCACAAAAGCGGCAATCGGTGACCACTGAGTTCGGATAGCGCTGTAATCAACGGACTTGTTGCAG